CCCCCCCCCATGCAGCTAAGGTCGACTGATTGAGTGGGAGGGGTAAATGACTCCCCCCCCCCACTCCTAAATGAGAGTTATCCTCTCATCATTTGGTCTTGGATACTGCCTGTGGTCAGGGTCTTTTCACCACCATGTTAGATAGGAACAGAGGAGTGAGCTGCTCGAGCACAGGGACCCATTTTATCCTGTTAGAATCGATTACAGAGAAAATGTGAAGGAGTTGCTTGTTGCTTGGGCCTCATACAGGAGTAGTGAGTTTTCTGATTGCTGTACTAGGGAAATCTCTCCACATGCTGGACCTCAGTTACACTCATGTAAAGACAGAGCATTGGACGTAGATGCTTTCTATAGCCTCTTTGACTCTTAAGCATCTGTAAATCCAATAGAAACTGCTACCAAACCCTTATTACAGAACATATGATAATGAGTAACACATCTTTCCAAGTATCAGTGTCATGTGGGCACTCACTGGAGAATCGGGCAACTAGAAACCCAAGAGCATTTGAACATAAGGGTTCCTCTAGAAAAGTGAACATCGGGAAAGCTGATGACTAGGGAGACTGGCAGGAGGGGTAGAGCTGACCTCTTAAACAGGGATAGAGCAAGGATTCTCTAGGCAAAAGGATAGGTAAGGGAGAGAATATGATTGCCTTCATCAGAATGGAAGAAAATGAGGGACCATCCAAGATCAACATTAATGCCACCAGCTTCTGTATCAGCTGGATTATATATTTTGTGGAGAAATGCCCTATATTCATGACTACAACTAAGAAGTAACTGGATAGGTGATCATAAATATCTATTTTGGGGGGCTCTTTCTGAGACAGGGTCACCCCATAGCCCCAGCTGGCCTGGAACTCACTATGTAGACCAGGCTGGCCTCTATCTCACAGAGATCCACCTGCCTCTGCCTCCTGAGTGCTGGGATTAAAGGTGTGTGCCACCACTCCCAGCTTGATCATAAATACCTAAAGTAGACGAAGAACTCTATAATTGGAGGTCCTTGGAAATTCAACAAGAGGAATCAGAATTAGATGTCAATTTCAACAAGTCAGTTATTGAATCACTGCATGGGGAGGTGTGCTAGATACAGAGAGGGCATCAGTGCAGTGGAGGGAAGGGATGTGCTCTGTGTTGTGATGGGGCTTTCTTTTGCTTCAGTTGCTTCATTTTAAAACATCTTACATCAAAATGCAAAGGGAAAAAGAATACCTCACAGTCTGGAAGCCTTGGCTGTTTAAAATCATTTACACATTCATTTTTAAAAATATTTTATTATTTTATGTGTATGAGTGTATTGCTTACACGTATATGAGTGTACCCATGTCATGCAATGCCCCGGAGGTCAGAAGAGGGCTTTGGATTCCCCTGGAACTGGAGTTAAGGACCATTTGTAGCCACCATGTGGGTGCTGGGATTTGAACCCGGGTCCTCTGCAAGAGCAGTCAGTGCTCTTAACCGCTGAGCCAGCTCTCCAGCCCTACACATTCATTTTTACCTAAAGCAGCTCCATAAGTGTGGAAAGGAATTATTCCTGCTCCATAATTTAACAATGAGAGAACTGAGTAAATGTCCACAGAGTTGGCCACAGGAACAGTGCAAAGTCCTATATGCCCTATCCAGGTCTGACCGCCTGTGTTCCCTCATCTGGATCCAGTTCAATACCAATGACTTTTTTCAACATTAGAAAGGTAGAAATACAACTATTTTTTATGACCAGGAGACGAGTTTATATTACCCTTGGATTAACTACAGAATGCTTTTTATGTAAGGCAGACTAAATAGACATCTGTTTTCTACAAACATTCAACTCCACACAAACGGAACGTTTTCAGTTTGCTTTGAAAGCAAAATACCATGTGTTGTAATTTTACAATGTTTTAAATAAAGTTAGGAATTTAGGTTTATAATGCTGAAAATTTCATGAAATCTATGGGTATAAAACCAAAAACTAGACATATGAGGACCCTTAAAAATTCAACCAGGAGTAGAATTAAAGGTAGCCATTTCAACAGACCAGCCATTGAATCATTGTATTAGCCATCCAAGGAGGCAAGAAGTAAGTTATTAAAGTTTATCATCCTCATTGGTTTGAAACAGTTATTCAGTGTGTGGATCATTTTTTAAAGCTCAGCCTAAGCAAGCCATTTACTGCCCTAGTTCTACACATTGTGTCTATTTTGCTCTTTATTACTTCATTTTGGAACTTTGATTGCTCTATTTTAGATCTAAGCTTGTTCTAATGCTATACTACAATCCTATGAAGGGCTTAGTTTTCACTTTGTTCTCAGAACCAGACTGGCTATAAATTTATCTCAGTTCTTTGAAGCAGCTAATAGTAAATTTTCAAGAGGAAAAAAGGTGGCATATATCCTTGTAGAGGAAAAGTAATCTCTTAAAAGCAGAATAACCTCCTGGCTACCCTTTTAAAGAGGGACTTTCAGACAAGACGTCTTCAGCTTATATATTTGTTCAGTGTTTTTCTCCAGGCTTTGTACCTGCTCTTCTGCTTCCTGTGTAAGGGTTTGCCATAATAGGCCCGTGCCTCCTCACACCCATGAAGTCTGTGATGAAGTAACACTCTTCCCCATTCTGATGTTGTGATAAGTTCCAGGACTACAAGCAGATAGTATAGCCTGGGGATCACCTGAGGTTTCCTCCCAAAAATTAGGCCTAGAGACCAGTGGTTGGAATGAATTCTCATAGAAACAAAAATCTCAGATTCTTGAAAATGAACTTTATAAAGTGAAACCTATAGAAAAGTCTCCATTGGGTTTTAACTGCATTCAGAGCCATGTTCAGTTTCAGCATTGGCTTTATTAAGATTCAACCAGTCCTCCCCAGAGCTTCTGCCATGCTCCATCATCAAAGGACTAAGGTCATTTAGAGTGAGGGATGCCAGCAGAGCCGAGGGAGCTTGTGGCTCTGTTTCCATACCTGACATCTGTATCATCATTCAACTTTAGCATTCCTGCACCCTAAGCTGTGCTGTTCAGTGTGGGCTGTGGGGCCTTTCTAATGTCGTACACAAAGGACCAAGGATCCCATTTGGTGTGGGAATGATTCTAGCCAGTCTGGGAGCCATCAAGGGTAATAGATGTGGAGCTGGCAGAAGTCTGGGTAGCACTGGGACAGTTCCAAACTGCAACATCATCCATCCTGCCTGTGCCTGCTGGTGTCATGACCAGGTCTTCTAATAAGCTTCCCAAGAGTGGTGACTGTTGACAGAAGCAAGTCATAATAGACAAGTTAACTTGACCAACTGTTTTCCAACCTCAGAACTTCTAGAGAGAGTTTCTCCTACCATTTCCTCCGGCCTAATTGTCCTCTTTCTCATTTTATGCCCCTGCTAGACCACCGCTCTTGATAAGGAGAGGCAGGTTTTCCGACGAAGACGCAACCAGGATGTGAGGAGCCTGTACAAGGCACAGCCAGCTCCGCCGGAACTCAACTCAGAATCGGAAGACTACTCCCCCAGCTCCTCCGAGACTGTTCGCTCCCCTAACTCGCCCTTTTAATAAGACCCTTTTACTCAAAGTCCTAGCTTAACCCTTTGAGACTCTGAGATTACCCCCCCCCAAATTTCTGTAAAACAGTTTCATCTGATCTATCTAGCACTCAATGCTTGAATGACAGAACAGAAAGTGTGTTTTCAGGTCCTTTGTAGAGATTTCCCTTTACTGAATGAGATGGCATGTGGTGTTTGTGAAGATGGTAATTTGCTGCTAATAGGGTCCTTAAAGGGTTAAGGCTAATTTGCAATTTTTTTTAAACATAGAGCAATGAATGTTTTCATCAGTCAAGCTAGGATCTACAAATGTAACATAGCACATGTTAGCCCTCTGAGTGCATAGAACTTTCTTAAGACTCTTTTCTGGGGAATTTTTCAGGCCCTTAGATATATTCACACATTTCTTTATTTTGCTGCAGATCAAGGGGTGTCATCAAGATGTTGAAATGTACATCTAAGAAGAGTGTAGAAAGCAGTATCTTGCTTATCCTTTTCTGTGATTTAGAACTGACAGGTTGTTAACTTTGCCCTATGCACCCCTCCTTCTTCACAATCTCATGAAGAAAGAGACCCCTTTTCTAAGAAGCCAGTTTGCTGCAGGGAGTCCCCCTGTAGTGGGGGGAATTGGGTTATTGGCAGCCTGACCCAAGAAGTAGACAGTGTCTCTCCCCACAAATTGTCTCCCTAACAAAGATGTGCTGAAGACACCTCAGAAACGCTGTTTCCTCATCAGTTGCTGCTAGTGCCAGACAGACCCTCGAGGAATCACCTTGACTTGGCTTGTGCTTGGTGAGTCAGGGGGTTCTGTTCACTCAGGATCAGAAAAGATCTACAAGAAAGAAACAACCTGTGATAAAGAGCAATAAATTGCCAGGTGCTCTGTAGGGCTGGAATTTCCAACAGGAAGGGGAACCAAGGTCCTGTGCTTTTTCTCAGCCGCTCTTCCTGACTGTCAGTGGGGGAGCCACAGACAGTGTGAAAAGTATTATGTCGGAGAGCTGGAGCACAAGGGAGCTAGGGGCAAGTGCTCTGCAAAGTGGCGGAAGGGAGAGCAAGGTGGGGAACACAATCCAGAGTGTTCTAAAAATGGGTCTTAAGGAAATAAACCAATTCCATGAGCACCTTTAGGTTACCTACACATCTCCCAAGAAGAGCAAAATGTATTACCTAGAAGATACTTCTGAGGATAAAACTGCCATAATATGATATTCTTTTATAGCACTGTCTCTGATTGTCCAGGAGGGACTTGTTTTTTCTGGTTTGGGGCCAAGCAAGACCTGACTGGAACTGGTATTTTCATTCCTGTTACGGAATCAGTCTCTCCAGGCCTGTGTCTCCAGACCCGAGTTTCTTTGGGAGTGTATCACATTTCAGAATGCTCCTTGCCGCTTCCTGTTCATTATAGCATACTCAACAAAGATACAGGGGTATTTCAGAGGCAGGGGCCAGCGCAAATGTTGCCACAATGTCGACAGTGATGGTGTCAGGAATGGCTGAGCAGTACTTATTTTCTCAACTTTGAATGTATTTTAATATCTTGGCATTTATAAACAACCTTTCTATAGTCAGTTCTTTATTTTCAGAATCTACATTAATCTTCAACTGCTGCTTTTTATTCATAGTCCCTAAACAACATTCTAGGCACAGAGACTTTTAAATAACAGCCGAGACCTACATTTTCTGCTTGTCCACATTTCAGTCCACATTTCTGCTCTTCTACGTTTAAATATAACATTTATTGAGGTTTTTTTTTTAAATCCTTTTAGACAGCCCAGAAATGATAACACATAAAATCACAAAGTAGCATAAGTCAGTAAGTCAGTCAGTTGGGTGTTGGGAGTGGGTGCAGGGCACAGACCACCAAGAAGGGTGTTGATATATAGGTAGAGGCCCTTTTAGCAAAGAACGCTGAACTGGTCGGAAATTATTGCTTTCTTTGGAACTATAAAGCAAAGCACTATTCTAAGGTTAACAAGTAGCTACATAGCTGAGCCTCAACTCTACATATGCGAATAAAAAATTCCTATGGGCAGAGACCTACTTGCAGTAGAGTGTCACTTCTCTTTCTCTGAATTACTGTTTTTCCCCTGGGCATTAACATACTGCGACAGCATCCAGGGTATAGGACCACAAGGTAGGGCGCTGGCCTTTTTCCGTCAACATTTCAAGGAACTTGGGAAAGTTTCTCAGCACACTGCAGAGGGCAGCTCAGAAGAATTCAGAACCCATTCAGAATGAGGATCCCAGCACATCACTATAGAATTTCAGTGATGTATGCTGAATAAACAGTGGAATGTGACCTGTCAAGTAGAAATATTGAGTAATCAGATGGAATGCATAATGCAGTAATCTTTCCAGCATTAAGCTACCAAGATCTTGAATGTCAGAGATGTACTCGGAGGGTTAACAGACAAGCACAAGGCATGCTGATGACGTTGGTGTATCCGGATTGCTTTGCTTTTAGCAGTGCTTTCAAATTTTTTGTTTCTTAACATTCTTGGGATAATTCCAGTTTGAAATAATTAAGTGGTGGTGTTCCTTAAGGAATTTCTATGACCAAATTGATCTTATTTTTTATTTCACTTATCATAGAACAAATATGTACTATTATGGCCATGTATATCTGTAATTATCAACCTAACCATCACCACTAGTGTTCCACTTTTTTTCTGAGTATTTAATACAGCTCTTTTATTGGTGGTCTGGTGATGGAAACTGTCCTTCCTTACTAACACGGTGACCAACCTAGGTGTTTTCACGGGAATTTTAAGATTCATCTTTTCAGTTTGAGAGTAGACTAGTTGAGGAACAATTCTTCATTACCTGTATCATGTAAATCTGTAGATGAGAACAGTTCATACTAACGAACACATTTTTTTTTCTCAACATTGTAGCAGAAACCCTTTTATTTGTCATGATGAATGAATATGTGATTTGCTCCAGACGGTTAGAAGGAAAAGTAAGATTTCAGTCATTGAAAATGTTTTTATCGTAGCCCTCATCTAACTTACATGTGGTGCATAATAAAATAAGCAGAGAAAAAAATGTGAATAAACTACTGAAAACACTTGGTGTTTTGTATTCAATGAGACTTTCCTGCTTAGCCCTCTCAGGAGTGGTGGTTAACAGGCTTGTCAGATATTGTCGAAAGAGAGCAGTATATCCATGAATGAAAGCTAAAATTGCAATCCTTTACCCTTTGAGGCATATTTCAGCTGAAAAAAAAGAAAAGAGAAATTGACTTAGAGGGTCACAGAGCTACCGAATGACCAAGACTCAAGCACGTTAAATCACGGTTGTTTGCTGGCCCACGGCGTCCATTATAGACAACTCTGTGCCCTATGCTGAAGTGCGAGTGTGCTGAGGGAGATCGTTCTTAACATTACTGTGTTACCCCTAGTCCTTCTCTGGGTAAAGATCTGTCAGCATTTCCATGATAAACTCCTATTCTCAAAGGTTTTTAATTTGACCATAAAAATGTGCCCCAGGCTCAAATTTGTTATTTGGGGCTTGTATTGAAGAGTGAAGGTTTGCCTCCCACTCTTCTCAACCTCCCAACTCCTCAGAGAAAAATGCAACAACAAAATGTCTGCTGTATCCCCTCTGTGATTCCAGAGTTTTGGAAAACACAGAAGTCCACAATGGTAGTTTTAACATAATCATTTATTTGGATGTGTGTGTGTGTGGTGTGTGTGTGATTTAATGGGTCATCTGGCATATATTGTAAAATAGTTTCTATAATCTGTAATTTGTTAATTTTTAAAAAATTATTATGTGATTTCTTTTTTTTGTCCAAAGATTTTTAAGAGCTTGAAGTCAGTCAGCTCAAAGGTCCACTTTTCCCACGAGCTGCCTGCCACTTCCATTAGGAGTCTGGAAGAAAATTCCCTCAAACAGAGCCTTATTTTGCATGCAGTATAAAGGGTCAGATATATGTTTCTTTGGAAATATGAATTTCCTTATTTAATCATCAAATTTCGTGAAGCCATGCAAGTCTGTTGGGAAAACAGCGGTTAAAAGCACTTCCAAAATTAACACTCTTGTCTATTCAGATTCAAGGCCAGCATAAAATAACACACTTCATATTTTCCTGTTCAAAGGCAAATAAATCAGTGAAACTTGAAGACATATGAAACATTTGATAACTGCAAAAGTGCTTTAAAATTGGGCTCTATGGTGCTTATACATGGAACAGTTACAAATGGGGTCCCCAGGACCATCACATGGAATCCTTAGCTTGTATGTAATTACATACGGAAGGAGGAGGTGCTTTTAAGCTGCTCTTTTATTTCTTAATCATCTCAAATATGCAGCCATCCATCCAGTAGCATTAAGGGTCATAAACTGGTGGGAAACAGGAAATCCAGGGCAGAAACTTCAAACATTGGGGCATTTTTGTTTGTTTGTTGTTGTTGTTGAGCCTAACACTGAAGTTTCTGTGGCCATTTTTCTCAGTGAGTGAGCATCTAACTGGCAGGTGTTGTGATCATGCGGTTTGCCCAAGGAGACAGATGAGGCATCCCTGAAGAAAAAGCAGTCTCTAAATCACACCTGCAAATTTCCTCAACACTTTTTTCTTTTTGTCAACTAAACTGAGACCCTTAATGTTGCTTTAATGTAAAATTGTATATTTTTGACTGTGACATACTTTGTTAATTTAAAGTAATTAGTGCTAAAGCCTTCATTGTCTGTATTAAAAGTAGAATTTTAAAAGTGGTGTTAAAGATCCTAATAATGTCAGTTCATTCCAAGTCAATCAGATGTGACAAGGGAAAAACCTTGAATAGTTCTCTTGGGAAAATTTCTCACTTCTCATTGACATTAATCTTTGGTGTAGTCTCAGAATAAAAGAAATTGAAACTGATCCAAGGTTACAGCCATACCCTCAACAACTTTAAAAAATTTATTAGGAAATTAATATTAGCCTTTTTCATTCTGGCTGAAAGAAAATTATTAAAAGATTAGTTGAGTGTGAAATTAAATAGTATTTTGTTCAGGCATTACTAAAGAAGTGGGCTGGGAGCTTGACTTATTTAAACATGCTTCCAAAAAGGTTCAATTTGGTAGGGGGAAAAATTCAATGTTTCCTTTGAAGATACTGAATTTATCACTTGCAGCATGGATCAGATGGCATAGATTAGTGTTTGATTTGGGGGATCCTAATGAAATAACTTTCAAACTATTTGTACCCTTGAATAAAGATGGAATGAGATCCAATTTTTTCCTAATCCTTCAGCTTAAGCTAATAAACTGTAGGTTAATGTGGAATGAAATCATCTGTGATATACTATGTTCATTTATCAAATGAGCTTTTTTGATGTTGCCTGTTTTTATGTAAAACATGTTCTTAAAATTAATAAAATAATAGCTCTTGGTGTATGAACTATTCACCATGCCCTAGCTGCTGGGTCTGCTCTTCAGCTCACATTGCCATGATGGAGTGCAATTTCATTTTAGTTCAATTCAGAATTGACACATTCAGTCCATGGAGGAATAACCCAGCTGTGTTCTTGGGGGGGGGGGTACTCCCTAGGCAAGGCTTTAAAAATTAGTCATGCGGTCAGAGTGTGGCTTTCCCACATGTCCTCTGTAGTGCAGTGTGTATTTCATGAGCATAATTCAAAAACAACTATTCCAAAAATGTCCCTTTTTATATATTACCTTCCTGGCTGGACCAGTGACTCGGGTAAACAAAAAGAAATCAAATACTCTTCAGTCCTATTGTATCTTTCAACCTATATGCACAACCTCTCCAGAGAAGACTGTTGTTTTAGCTGCTAACCTGTAATAATTAGCTGCCATTTTTATAGCAGTTCCCCATTAGGCATTCCACATGCAATATTGACCTTAGAGAAAATTGTAAAACTGTACAATGGAATAAAATTCTTTCCTATTGAAATTTTCAGTGCTAGGAATTGAGAAGTCAGCCAGCAAGAGTGAATGTGGGTCCTCTAGTGTCTTATAAAGGTGTCGGGACGTCTTCAACCTCTTGTAAAATTAGCAGTCACTGTCCCGGCCATCCAAGGGCTGCTTCAGCTGCTTCTCCTCTTGCTATTCTACTGACATCACTGGGTCTTTTCTATACTCTTCTGGCAACTTCTGTGAAACAACAGCCAAAATGATTGCTGCCTAAGGATCATTACCTTGTTTTATGAGGCTGGCAGCCTTGCCAAAAATCTGCCATCCAAAACATGGGCTGGTTGGGAAAACCTCAATCACAACTCGGGTGTCGAAAATGATAAAACTGACACACACACACATGGGAATTGGGAAGAAACGATCTCCCCTGACTCTGGGCTACTTGGACCCGGAGCTGGAAAGGTAGCAATCCCTGTTATGGAAACAGGTAAATGGGCTGTGAGAAACAAGTAGAGAAGCATCCTGGGAATTTTCTTAAAACAACTCCTGAACAACAACAAAATAAAGGCTTTTCTCTGACTTGGGAGGTAGTCTACTCCCCTCTCCTCCAAGAGGAACATTAAGAAAAGACAAGGTGCCACACCCAGCCAGCTGGACCCACCAGATCCACGTTGGCCATCAGCACTGTGACAGATGTCCCAGCCAGCTTGCCTGCACTTCCAAATCATTCATTCAACTGTTTCTTGAGTGAGTGCCAGCACCATGGAAGGCACTTTATTTGAGTTTAGAAAAAAAAACAGAAATTCTATTGTCCATTTGTATTTTTGCTATGTGTCAGATTTCAAGCCAAGAAAATGTGAGCTGCCAGGTCTGCCGTGTATTGATGTTCTTGGTTTAGCATACAGATGACCTGTGCACTTCACCTAGTAAGAAATCGTGTGTCTATAGCAGCTTTGATTCTTGAGCTTGAAGATGTCTGTCTACCATCTGCCCATTTTGATGGTACACACACTCCATGGTACTCTTGGCTTGGCTCCTGGACTCTGGAGGTAGAAGGCATCCCAGAGTTCTCTCTGCCATCTGTAATTAGCATAATATTTTAACCTCTTATCCTACATTAATTCTGCAATATTTCTATCAGATGAACAAGCTTAACCAGGACCTACTATGAGTGATGCACAGTTCAGTCTAAGATAAGCCACACAATTCCTGTCCATAAGACCACCATTATAGCAAGAAACCATCTACTCTTTGTCCATGCAGTGGGGAGACTGATTTATTACTCACAGATGGCCAAACACCAGTTTGTCAGGGGCACAATATCCCTACCAACCTGAGACTTGTCCCCAGCATGTGTAGATAGTGTAGGCTGCCTGCAGTCTATCCATAAGTCACATGTAAATACATCCATGGTCCATGCACTCTACTGTATTCTTAGAAGGAGGGAAAGAGGGAAACAATGAGAGAAGATAGAAGTGATGAGGCTAAAAGCTGATGAGACCAAAGTTGCCACAATCCTAAGATCATTTACAGAGTTTAGAAGGACATATTCATCTCAACGTGCTCTTCAAAACCAGTTCCAGGGCATGCCCTGTGGGAATCATGGTGTGTGGATTTAACATAGTTGGTCTCCTCCGTGTTCTTCATCTAGGAGTGGCATCCCCTTCTGACAGGTGAACAGTAACAAGATGCCATGAATGATTTTGTTAGTGCACCCCTGTCAGAGGTCAACAGTGGGGCATTTCTCAAGAAGTTTCTAATGTCCATACTTCCCTATCCATTCTTCATGGACCTTCAGGATCCCATTGAAGGACACATTCTTCCTATCACCACATACAACTGCAAGGGGAAGTTCGGCCCGGGACCCTATACTTCTATACAGGGTAAGCCATATACTCTTACCTCTAGTAAGTTCCCATCACGTGCTAGTCCCTGAGGTAATACCTCACTACCCCCTCTCCAAGTGCATAGAAAGCAGCTGTCCAGCATGATTCCAAGTGTAACAATAAAAGCACAGATGAGACACTTGGAAATTGCGATGAGGCATTTACAGAAGGCAGAAGTTTATCTGGTTTTGGTTGCTCAAAAAAAAGGTTTTTATTTCATCCCAGAGGTACAAGATCAAGGAGCCATATCCAGTGGTAACTGTGTTACTGGTAGAATCCTGAGGTTACTCAGGGAATCACTTGGCCAGAGACCGGAAGAGGACGTATATATCTTCTGGTCTCTTTATAAAGTCATCAGGATTCAATCATGGAGGCTTCACCCTAATGACCTTATCTAATTTGTGTCACCTTAGAGAGCTCTCACCTCTTTCCACTGCCTTGTACCTCCAATGGGTATTAGATTTCAGCATGTGAAGCACTGAGTGACTTGTTCAAACCATGGCAGAAGCCCAGTCGGTCTAAAGGACAAGAGGAAATCAAGAGAAATAGGACGAAGGCATTCACAGCCATGAGAACAGTTTGCAGAAACAGAGAACTTGAAGGACCCCATTATGTGTGAGATTGAGGCTCCAGGTCTGTCCCAGTGAGGCTGAGGACAGTCCAGGGACTGGGCCTCAACAACCCACCACTGTTGTTTTAGGGAAGGGTGGGGCCAGCCCATCTCCCAGCTACCTGAAGGTGCTCATGTGCACTAAGTGTAGTAAGGTTAATAACCCTAGTCCCAGAACAGGCCAAGGAAGAAGTGAGGCAGGGTGATGTCTTTTAAAGAAATATCAGCAAGCCCAGGCTTAAGCTGAAATGCTCTCAGTAATAGCAGAAGGCAGCCGCCCAGGCACACAAAAGAACCAACCATATGTTAATCTTTTCCTGTAAGCTCCTGCTCACGAAGCTGATCAGGCTCTCTGCTCACTGGGGAAAACCAGCCTGCTCTCTTGGGTTGCTTCTTTTTGCTCTGAAAAAAAAAAAAAGAGGAGGATAAAATCCACTGACCCTGAAAATAGCTCCCTCCTGCCTTCTGGACAAATCCACATCGTCACCTTTCCTTTATAGCAGGTGATAATTAATGTTCCACCTGAGAGAGGTTCCCTTATTCCATCAGAATTACCTACTAATTTGCGGGGCTCTTCTGATTAAGCACTGAGCTTGTCAGCATGGGCTTATCATTCAGAACAGCCTTTCATTTTCAACAGGTGAATCAAGGCCCAAACGAACCTAGACATTTTCAATTTCCTCTCTCACCGCTGTGGATGGCCCCTCATTTAATAACGTTTTCTAGGTCTGCTCCTGTCTAGCTGAGCAAACTAACTTTGCTTCATAGAAAGTCGCTATTGTTTCCACTGCTTTATAGAGGAAGTTTACATCAGTGCCTGAAAATTCCCTGCTTGAGAAGGAGGCCTTGTGCTAATGCAGGCATTTGCTCAAAGTGCTTCTCTTGCCTGGTGGTTTTATGGATTTTCCTGGCATGCCCACACCTTGGCATGCTTTTCTGCAGGAATGTTGCTGACAGGTCTGTGTGGCTTCAGTGCACAGGACAACAGAACCTTCCTCTCTCAACATGTTTGCACAGAAAACGTCTGATGAAAATCCACCAAGGGCAGGGAAGCAATGATCACTTGTGTTCCAAGTTCCCTAAACGCACAGAAATGCATTCAGATGGGAAGGGAGAGCCAAGCCTCCCAGGCTCAGCAGGCAAGCTGCCAGAACGGTATCTATTCACTGATGAGCCTTGGGTATCTTCAGTATCAGCTGAGCATAGTTACTGTGGCTCCCCTCCCCGAAACTAGCATCTAGCAGGCAGTGGGTACCCTGGGACTCGAGTGATGACTCCCAGCTCTCTCCGAGTCTGTCAGCAGGCCTAGCTGTACTGGATAGGAACTTTCCAGAGGAGAGATAGAGTCCAGGGTATCATGGGATCAAGTCAGGCACCCTACACTAAACACCCTCTCTGGGCTTACTTCCACTTATCTGTATCTCACCTGCTCCTCACCCCAAAGGCACATCCACTGCCTTAAAACGACATGGCTTTATCACTGTAAACACAGCTTTTGTTTTTGTCTCATGTTGCCCTAAATCCAGACTGGCCTCTGGACATAATCCGACCTTGGCTTCCACCATGCCTCTTAGTATCTGGGGATTTAGAAATAATCTCCAAGAAGGTTTTTACAAAACAAATGAGTCCCAGTAGAGTACCAGATCCCATTGTCACAAAGTCAGAATCATAGTCAGCAGAGGGCCGTTTGCTGTGCCCTTTCCTGAAGACCATGAACGTATGCTGAGAAATGTCCTAAATACAGTAGCACATCGCAAACACAAAGAAATGGGCCCTTTTTATTTTGCAGTCCCGAGCCTCGTGGAGCATCCCTGAAATGCCAGCGCTTGGGAAGCGGAGGCAGGAAGGCTGGGAACTTGAAGTCCTTTGGGCTCCAGGCAGCACCAAAATAAGCAAACAAGAGCTTGAAACACTGTGT